TTATCTTCGTATACTACGAACAAGGGTATTCGTATTATGGCTGCTCCAGATCCTTCGTATCTTACAAACTGAAAGCTTCATAATACGAAGACCTCTCTTCGTAAGAAACTAAGAGTGCCCCCTCCACTCTCTCCTTTCCCTCTCGACTGACCGGACTGGACTGTCGAAGGGCCCTGGCGGCCCGATGACGTGATCGCATAACGCACACACCACGTCCTGGCCGCCCTGATTGAGGAAGCGCTATGGCTGCCCCCAGGGCGTCGGCTGTCACTGTGTGTGCGTGTGCGCGCGCCGACCGCTCCATCAGTCTGCTGACGAGGCGCAGGGCTCCAGTAGAAGGGCCGCGCAGTCTCCCAGGGCAGCGCAGCGGCCGCGCGCCCGAAAATGACCCGTTCCCAGCCAGCGTGCCTTGTAGCAGGTCTGTGAGGTGGCGGCGGTGGTGACGTAAACGAGAAGACGCGGAGCCGCTGTGCTGGAGACGGCGCTGACGCTGGACGCCGCGGCTGCGGTGGCCATTCATTTAGACGTTCATTGACTCGGAGGTCGGGGGCCGTGATATAATAATTGGGGGCACACTCGTCTGTCTCTCTCGCTCCCGACCTGCGGCGGGCCGGGGAGGGGTGTGAGTGTGAACAGCACGGCCGTGCTCGGCTTGGGCTCGGCTCAAGTGGGCGCGCCCCACCCGCTCCGGCTCCGCTTACACCCCCGCCCCACCCCGCCCCTCACTGCCATTGTTGTGGTCAGCCGGTGCGCTCGCTGGACTCGGGAGTGTGTTACTCAAAAGAGCAGAGAAAATCGGCGGCCCTTGGGGGGCGCGCGTGCGTGTAGCTAACTACTGAACTGGGGAGCTCTTTGCATACGACCTCGACCCCCATTACGTTATTATTGTGATTACGATTACGGCGTTGTCTGGCCGCTGACGCGGTTTGTGTGGTGCGCTACTCGGTTTTTCGGCCGCTCACGCCGAGAGTCCATGGAACACTGAGGTGTTGCCTGGTCGTGCTCAGAGCAGCGGGGGGGCAATGTAAGCTAAACTTAAACTTCTTTGCGCCAAGCTAAAAGAAATTGACGTAGCAAGTAAAAATATTGTGTAAATGGCATTTGAATTATTTCTGTGCACCAGTAACGAATGATTAAGTATGGAAATCATCAATTTTTTGTAGACTTTATGGTGAGGTGTCCACCACGGTAAAAACTAGTTTACACGAGGTAAAAGTTAAATGCTCGCGTAAACTCGCCATTGCTCCCAACTACTCTTAGACACTTAAACTCATTGAGTGCACCCATGAGTAACTGCATTTTTTTTGGGGGGGGGCGGCTTTTTTGAGGGGGCAACTTTTGTGGTAATCGCGTCGGGTGGTTTCTGGTCCCTCCAGTTCGCCGGCCGCGAGCGTGTTCTCGCGTGTTATCAGGTGCGAGTGCGTTGCGGTATATTGCCGCGTTGACGCCATTCCCGACGGCCGCGTGCCGCGCGCCGCTCCATAGAAATGCGCTCGCGCGGACCTTTTTCTCTCTCTTACCTTATTTTTCTTACCCCAACAAGCAAGCAGCAGCGGTGGCGGGTGCGCCTGCCGCATGCTTGCTTGTTTGCAGGACGAAAGAAGTAGTGAAGAAAGGGAGAGAGAGAGATAAAAGGTGTGGTCGATATAGTCGGTGGGTTCTCATGCGCTGTGTAATTATGCGTGTCGCGCCACCAGACGACTGGTGTGTGAACGGTCAGCGCAGCGCACACCGGGCTGCACACCAATCGACCATGCGTTTTTTTCCTGTCTCCTCTAAGTGATTTATCTCATGTGCCGAGCTGAGTGGCACGCAGCAAGCAGCAGGCTTTACGGGAGCGAGGAAAAAATTGACCAATTTGTCTCCCAAGTATAGTGTATCATGACGGCTGATGTGCGGGAGGCGGGGCCCGCCCCCTCCCGCCTTCACCACCCGCACCGCTGCGGCCGCCCTCACGTCCCAACGAGGTGATGCAAAGAGGAGCAGCGAGGCCCAAGTGGGTGAACGGCTTGAGGCGGCCATCCTGTGTCACCTTGTGTAAGGCCCGTCCTGCTGGTATGCGGCGGCTTCTCCTATCGGGGCCTGGAGTCTGCGCCAGCGACTCTCGCCTGCTTGTCCAGCGCGCCGCGGGCTGATGATGTACTGGAGCGGGCCAGCCATAGCCTTCCTCCAGCGGGTCATCACCGCGAGTGTGTTCGTGCGCGCGTGAGCTGGCCAGCCGGCGAGCAGATAGACTGCTCCCCTCCCTCTTTTCCTTAGCGAGTGGTCAGCCTGCTGCTGCTGCTGCGGTCACTTTCACTGCTGGAGCCGGCCGGCCCGCCTGGAGCCTCCAGGGGCGGCATGCGATGGCATCGCCACCGTGTCGCACCCCCTGGGGCCCGGTAGTGCATCACATATGTCTTTCGTTGTCTTGCAAAGTGACAGCTCTTTTTAGATTTGAGGGAATACCGGGGAATTCAGCTCGGCTACTTCCTCGAACTCCCTCAGAATTAAAGAAAAGCGCTTGATGATATTTCATCAACGTTTGAAACATGGTAATAGAAATTCGAATAAAATTCTTCCCCCCTCCCCCCTCTTTTCCACGCGGTGGCCAAAATCACGTAAGACACGGTAATCAGAGCACGTTTTAGCCGTGTGCGCGCGCGCCGTGCAAGGAGAGGTGTGCATGATGCTGGCCCGAGCGCCGCGTAATGGACCGCGACGAATATCGATGCGGGAAAGCCGCGCCGCTCGGAAGAGCCATTTAGCCAAACGGCTGTATCCCGGGCCGCCGGCTGCTGCTGGCGGAGAAAAGCATTAAGAGGCGGCGAGTGGTCGCGCGGCGCGGTGGGGAGGGGCACCGGCACCTGCTGTGGGACCGGCGCGGAGGAACACGACCGTTTGACCGGGGCGGGCCGGTGCGGATTTACATGCCCAGCCCAACCATTGCCCTCTCCCCCTTTTCCCCCTTCTCCTCTGGACCATCCTCTCCATCTCCGCCCCAATGGTGTACTCGCGAGGTGTTCGGAGAAGACGACGACGACAATGAACGGAAGTAAGTGAAGCCCTTCCGTGCCGCCCCTCCTCGACTCGCTCGTCAAACTTTCTGCCGCCTGCTCCACCCTGACCGGCCGTGCACCTCGGTGCACCTTGTTGCTCAGCCCGGCCGGCCACGCAACCCCTTCCTCCTCGGAGCTTGCTGCTGCCGCTGCTGATCCGATATGAAACGAAAGTATCCGAGTCTGTCTTTGTTTTTAGCCGCGGCGGATCGTGCGCGTGCCGTATCACTTCGCCCATCTGCCGCTCGGTGATCCGCGAGGCGATGTGGCGCGGGCCCGAGGTGGGCCGCCGTCAGGAAGGCTCGCTGCCTACTGGTCGGGTCCTGCTGCTGGCAGCTGTCGGCGGCTTGTTGTTTGTCGGCGTGGATAATTTTTATTTTTTCCGAGTCGCGGCGACGGTGGTTGGTTGGTGTCTGGCCACTGCCCGCGGGGCGCCGCGCGGTTACCCGTTACACACACACCTGCTGGACCAAAACCGAACCCGGCCAGCAATAATAATGCAACTCTTGAGAGAGATCCGGGATCCGAATCTAACGCCGCCCAGCCGCCCACGAGCCGCGTGGAGCTCGCACAACAAGAGTTCCGCAATGTGTGGCGGCCGCGCGACGGAACGAGATGATAAGCAATGTGTGGCGGCGGGCGTATCGAACGGCGCGACGGTAATAATAATTATGCATTTTTCTGCCTTGTTCGCGGAGGAAGCCTGCCGCCGCCGCGCGCCGCCACGCTCCGCGCGGAGAAGGCCGCGGCCGCCGCCACCGGGCTTGCTACGCTCGCAAATGTGTGGAAAGAATGGCGGCCGGTGCGATTCACCGCGCTGCTCCAGGAGTGAGCGGCGGCGGGCGGCCCGAAGGTCCTGAGGGTCCTCTTGCTGCTCCTGCTGCTCCTGCTGGAGGTCGGATAAGGAGGGGTCCCGGCCCCAAAAGGGAGCGCCCGCGTGTCCTTTCCCACTGACCGTTATCGCGCTCCCACGCCCCACTGCGGGACCTCCGGGTCGGATCGAATGGAATTTGGTGCGGGACTCGAGAGATGGCGGAGGAGCCAGGAACTCGGCGAGGGGCAAACTCTGGTGCGTGGCGGCTGCGGCTCGCGAGGGCAGCGCGGTGGCGGCCGCCGGTGACGCGCGCGGAGCACGCGACTCTGTATGTGTAAGAGACCGCAGGAAACGGAGACAGTGCGACCCGATCGCGGATGTGGGGTGGCCTTGCCTCGCCCCGCGGCGCCTCGGCACGCTGTGCGCGCCGCCGCTGCTGCTGCCGCTGAGCAGCTCCATAACGACGTGATGGAGTGATTACAACCGGCGCAACGTTCCGTTTGGCCCCCGCCGCGCCCCGCCGGCCGCTCGAAGGATGCGAATCGCAATAAAAATGAAGAAAAAAATGTAGCTAGCTGGCGAATGAATGCACCAGGGTTAACGCACGCACGCGCAGTCGGACAGACGAGCGACCTTGACGGATTTGGCTGGTAGTGCTGTTTTTTCCCCTCGTTTACTCGAAGCGGACCGCTTGTGGTCGTGTCGCTGGGGTGGAGTGGGCCGCTTGGAGACTTGCGCGCGCGGGCCGCCCAGGAGCCACCACTTGTGGAGATTGGTCCTGTCTCGTGTTTCTACCCCGTCCTACCCCCTACCGATCGTTATATGGATGAATCTCACACTAGGCCACACAGTCATTAAACTGGTGAAACAAAGGCAGGACCTTTTGAAGGCGCTAAAGACTACACGCCATTAAAGACCATTAAAACTGTTGGAGGCACTAAGACTTATAACATCTTTCCAGCGCCGTTTTAGTGGCTTTACAAAGGTTAGACATTTTCAGAGAGGTGTTGATACTTTTATCATAGCGTCTCGTGTCCTTAATGACACATCCCCTACGGGGACGCGGGGACCCTCTTCAGAAATACCACGGTACCAGAGTACCCGAGGCACCACGGACGCACATGATGGCACCTTTTTGTGGCACTTACCGATGCAGAGGGCGAGAAGCACGCTCATCCAGTGGCGGGTCCAGGGGCTCTCCCAGGGGGTGTTGGCCGCTGACGTCATGGCGACTGTCTTGTCGTCACTCGGCGCACTCTGTCACTCGCACTACTGTCACAGCACACACACTCTCTGTCGCACGCACGCGCCGCGCCGCCACACCGTGTAGCAGGTCTGTTCCGCTCGCTGCAGCCGCCCGCCTCGCACTGGGGGGCTGGCGCCACGCTATGCTACGCTGCGCCCCGCTCCGGCCGCCGCTCTCCAGGTGGGGGCTGCAGTCCGCTGGAAGGCGCTGGAGGCGCGCCGGAGGAGCCGGCCGGGGGAGCAGCTGGAGGGAGCGGGCGGGCGGGCCGGGCGCTGCGATTGCCCTATCGCGCACTCCACTTTTGAATGGCCAACGAGGAGTGCAGGAGATGGTGGTGGTTTGACGCGCGGCCGGCTGCTTTGCCGTGGACGACACGGACGTGCTAAGGCACTGTGCATGATGCCTGTAATCATTCTCTTTGTCTTTCATTCGTCTGACTCGCGGCCCCCGGCTGCCCCTGCGTGGGCCGGCTCGCGGCGCTGCTGGGTATTTGAACGGGAGGCTAAAGAGGTTTTGTTTTTTACTGCCGCGCGGCCCCGCTCACTCGACTTTCAGCCCGCGGCCAAGTCATGGTAGTAGCTGGCGCTATGAGGTTGTCGGTCTCGCGCGCGTAAATGTCGCGGGTAAAAACGATTTAGTGTCGGGGCGGTTTCGCGGGCCGATATCGCCGCTGAAAGGGTTCGGCAACCGGCTCAAAAACTGCAACCGAGACTGCAACGCTGCGCCGCGCCCCTCACCCCCGCCTCACCCGCTTCCATCCCTCGACTGACCTTTGACTCGGGAACGACGACGCTGCTTCTTCTTCCTCCATCCACAACATTTATGCCGCTAATGTCCAGACTCGCTCGGCCCGCCCCCCGTCAGGAGTGTAGTCTGTAAAGTTGGCCCTCGTGACCGGCCGCGTGACGTCACACCGTGCGTTAATGAAGATCGTGGTCCAGAGTCGTGAATCCTCGGCGGCTTCCCTTCCTTGCTTATCGGGAAGCGGCGGGCGGGCGGGCGGGCGGGCCGGCTCGGCCCGGCGGTGCGTCGTGGGAACGGCGCGGCGTGGGGCCCAACGTTACGCCCGTAAGTGACGTGCTCGCGGGGAGCCGGTCGAGCTCATCCAACTTTGAATGTGTGTCCAGAGATGCTGATCATTTCTTGTGTGTTTGTCCTCGTGTGTGTAAATCGAAAGCTAGTCAAAAAGTGCTTCTGTAAGTGATCTCCCCTGCTAGTGATGTCCAATGGTCGGTCAACCCCCCACTCCACCTGTCTGCCGTCTCTCTCTCACGCGCTAGCCGGCCACTAGCTCCGTCCCTCTCGCTCGCCCGATTGGCACCCATCGGCGCCGAGCGACCGACCATTGGACACCACTATCCCCTGCCCTTCTAGAGTTGCTGCTTTGAGCCGGCAAGGCTGGTGTAGTGAACACAGGACAGGGTGGTCCATAGACCGCTTCCTTTATTTTGCTTACACCTGCCCGCACGACTGCGACCGCATGCGGTCGGTACACTATAAGGGAACACCCAGAAAGTACGCCCGTCATTCGCCGTTACGAATTTGCCGAGTTCAGCGTATGCAAGCTAGCTCTCATGGCGCCTGGTAGGTAGGCAACATCTTGCCTGCAGTGCATGCGTGCACTGCGGGGGTGTCTACACCCCGGTTCGCAGGCGCCCAGCTCCGGTATAATGAAAGGGGTCTATGGGACCACCCTACCCTGTATAGTGTGTGTCATAGTAAAGATCATATCGTCGGTCGTGATCCAATGGGAAAAGAGGAATTCCAGGATGGTGTGTGAAAATGTGAGCAAAAGTGGTCTATCCTCGGGTGTATCGCGATGGCGGCGGCACCAGGCTGCTCTTTGCTTGGCTGCCGGCCACTGCTACTTTCTGCCGCCGTCGCCAGCAGCAGGCTGGCCGGCCCGCTGTGCTGCGCGATCTAATTCCCCTGACGGGCTGGGCTGGCCGCCTCCTGCTGGCGACGACGTCTTGCCAATCCGATCAGATGAGCGAAAGGCGGTCTGCCTTCGGCAATGGCAGCGCTGCGCCGCCGGTGCGGGGCGCGGCTGGGCGCGCCGAGGCTGCCGCACACACGGGGATTTCTGTTATTTGGCCGCGGCTATGCCTTGTCCTTGCGCTATGGGGGTTTGCCCACGCTGGCGGGGAGCCCTCTTGGGGTGGCACGGCCCCAACTTGGCAGGAGCGGCAGGATGGCACGGGTCGGGGTGGGTGGACGGAACACACGGCTCACCTCACCTCACCCGCTGTGTGTGTTGAAAAGTCGCCCTCGCTGCAACTGGTGTTCGGCGTGGTGGCAGCGCTGATTTAACGACCGTGTCTCGTTGGGGCAGAGTAGGCTATTTGCTCGGCGTAATGCGCGGGTCTTGCGCAGCGGCAGCTGCAGCAGGTGAAAGGTGTTGTGTGTGTGTCTGAGTGAGTGTGATTCGTTTCTTCTCTTTCTTTTGGCGCTGCTGACGTCAGTGGGGTGGGCTCCCCGGCTGAGGGGTGAAGAGGCTCCCACACCGCGGGTCACGGGTGGGATGGCGTGAATGGATGGCAGTTGAGCTCCCGAGCGGGGCGGGGCGGGTGGTGGCCAGCTGGTCCCTCATTACTTGCTCATCGTCGCGTGCAACTCACGTGCGCCCCGCCATGCCCCGCCACGCCCCGCTCTGCCACGCCATGCCCAGCCATGCCCCGACCTTGCAGCCGATATCCCGATGATGGTCTGGCACTGCCTGCTGCTGTGTATACCCACCCAGCGCCACGCGGTTGCGTGGTCGAGGAAAGTCGGTGGTGGTGAGCGCGTAGTATGGAAGGCTGACTGCCTCTTCCGTCCGGTTCGAAACCCCATAAAGCGAAATAAGTTTCCCCTGGATGTGTGTTTTTCGACCTCAGTGGGGCTGCTTCCCCCAGACGACCCAATACGGCGTCGGACCCTCTGCGAAGAAGACCTTCCCGGAGGAGGACCTTGTTGTGTGCGCGCCCCTCACATGCGTAGAGGGCCTCCTCCCCCTGCCCCACTTAGCTCGTGTGGTCCCACGATGCACGGCCCAGGTCGGAACCGCCTCGTTGCGCAAGCCAGAGAGAGAGAAAGATTCTCTCTCATAGTCGTGTGATTCTCGGGCGCGCTCCTCCCCCGCCGGGGCACGGCCGGGGCAGGGCCCCCTAACCTCTTGGCACGACGACGCATGGCGCTTCAGCTGTGCTGGAACTTCGTTGATTTCAGTTATTTCCGCAATTTGGAATTTCACCCCCCCCCCTTTTTCCTGAGCTTTTGACCAAAGTCACAATTTAAAGAGGATAGTTATGCGATCTACATTTTGGAATTGTTTTCATTTCTCAATGTTTGTTTTCGTTTTATTTTCAAAGCGCACAGAGGTGAGCGCCAACCACAGCTGTGCTATGATGTGAAACGACTGCAATAATAATAATGATAACCCAGACAACAAACGTGACGGTTTCCTGACGGGCGGCGGTGTCGTGGCGCGCGCCGGACCGCGGATGCTTGTGTGAAAACGTTAAGTTGGCACTTTAATGGAGGGATCCCACGAGCCGCGCGCCGCGCCACGCGCCCACCAGGGGACGCAACGTAACTGGGGGGAAGCCGAGGGCTGGGCTCTGTTTGTGATCGCCCGAGACAGACATCCATGTCCTCTGTTGTGTGTGTGTGTGTGTGTGTGTGTGTGTGTGTGTGTGTGTGTGTGTGTGTTTGTTTTACGCAGAGGTCTAGTGTCGTCCGTCGCGGCCATAAAGCGTGTGTGAGTGTGGTGTAGTCTTGTGTCACTGCGCAGCGACTGGAAAGTAAAACGGGACTTTCTTTGGAGAGTTGCAGATGTGGAGCCGCGGGCAGCCGCGATTGGGGACAACGAGAGCTTCCAACAATACGGCTTTTGAAAAGTTGTGTTCGTAGAAAAATAATTGAGACAGTTAATTAGATTAGATCATCCTCACACAGAACGTGATACAATTGTTGCGGACAGGGTCCATGGTCGACTTTTTCGCGCGCCGTTGCCGCTCGCTGGTAATTTCGCTCTCTTCATTTCGTTCCCACCCGCGATCCTCTCAAAACCGCTGCTCTGCCAAAAGGGAAGCGTGCGCTCGCCTCCTGCGCCGCGCGCGCGCGCGCTGGGGGCACGACGGAAACAATATTTACGGAAACGGTCCGGTAAAAGCCCGGAAGGCGTGTGGCGCGGCGCGGTGTCACGGCGCCGTGAGTCAAGTCATGCGGCTCATCGTAACGTGGCCGCGGGCGGGCGGGCTGGGCAGGCAGGGCCAGAGGGCCGGGTCAGGGCTGGACAAGCAGGGCCGGAGCCTGGACACGGTCCAGACACGGCGGCGGCGGCCCTGAGCCGCGGGGCTCCAGTTCTGCCCCGGCCGGGTGAAAGGGTGGTGTGCGCGCTGCGCCCGCCGCCCCGCCCACCCAGTGGGCTGTCATCCATTGCCCCATTCCAGTAGTGGGCCTGCTCTTTGCAATATGAGTGGCCCCCGCGCAGCACACCTGGCGGTGGGTGGCGCGGCAGACGCCTGGAGGAGCGGTCAGACTGGACCTGGAGGAGAGGATCTGGAGCACCGCGCGCTGGATACTTCCCTGTATAACGGCCCTCCTGCGCTCGGCGGGGGGTGCAGTGCAGGCGGCGGCGGTTCGGAGACTTCTTTCCGGACTCGACCCCGGAGGTTCCCGGAGGTTCCCGGAGGTGGAGAAGGGCCCCTGCTGCCCCCAGGAGCGCGCCCGCCTGGCGCTCGCGGTGTGGCCGTATGTCATCCCTTTCTCTCGCCCGCAGCAGTGGCTGGCTGCGGCGGGCTCGCGGCGCAGGGCTGAAGCGGGCGGGAGCGCGCTGGAGGAGGAGGAGGAGAAGATGGTGGTGTTGTTGGTCGTGTCGTGCTGCGGTGTGTTTGTGGAGACGCGGCAAGGACTCGTCATCACGAGCATTGGTCAGCGGGCCCGGCCCGGCCCGTGTCGGCCCGTGTTCGATCGTGACCGCGGTCGGGCGCGGGCCTGGCTGGGCTCTATGCAAAGTGGCCGGCCGGACCCCGACAAGAGGAGCCTTGGTCTTGGCCGGGCGTGGCGCTCGGCGCTCCGCTCCGCTCGGCGGTGAAAGGTGCGAAAATAAGCCGTGAAATGTGACCGCACGGCACAGCTCGCTTCATTAGGGCGTTTGCCTCCTCGGGGCGTCTGCTGCTGCTCGGGGTGTGCGACGGCAGGGTGTCTAGGAAAACCCAGGAAATTTGAAATATACCCACGAAATTTTGCAAAGGCAGCAGGGACGCCTCCGGACGCCTCTGACATTA